TTGCTGATCGCTGATCATGTTTACGCGATACAACTTAGTCTGTTGAAACGGCATTCGATGGCTTATTGATGTTCATGTAGGAGAAGATGAAGGGCGCGTCCACTTTGTCCAATGTAGTGTTTTACACAATTGGAACAGTTTATATTGCAGATAATGTTTGCTTTTTCTTCTTTTGTCATTTTGTCTTTCGGTTTACACAGGAGTGATTGAAATCACTTTGTTGGTTTTTGTACAACGCTTATTGCAAATGGCTTCAGGGAATTCTGATATGGCTTTTATACATGGTAGAATTATCCGTTTTACGTTTTCTGTACCTGACTTCGTGTTTCGTCCAATTATGAGATTTTGCCCGTTCCAACTATTGAAGTACTGGCCGTCGATATTCGCTAATCACGAATCCAAGTAGGCAAGAAAACCAAAACTACAAATAAGATACCAAGTTTATTCGAAATTCACAAATAATCGACGAAAGTCGTTCTAACAACAATAATTATAACAATTATAAAACAAACCTTCAATTTTGTACGTTCCCGGAGCAAAAACTCCCAAATACCAAACCAATGACAAAAGAAATCAAAATGTCCGAAAAGAATGATATAAACAAACAAGTCCAAAGGTTAAGTAAAACAAACACATCCAAAAAACACAGTAAAATTAATGTACAGTAAAAAGGTTTTAATCGGCCAAATGTCTTCAGTTCCCCCCGTAACACTTCGTTTCTGCTGACTCATTTGGTTGATATTTTTTGGTGAAATTGCAAAGGTAGTCATTCTTTTGAAAGATAATCGATAGATGTTTTGTCTTTGTTCACAGCGCAGCAAGTGTGCAGTAGCGTTTTCTCGCCCTCTTGAATAAGGTTTGTACACAGTTACTTTTACGCGTTCTTTGGTTGTTGCTATTGTAATTGAGAAGTTGATCTGTGTAGATAGGTTTCCTATGAATATTAGTCTCGATTTTTTTTGTATCGGTTCTGGTGACTAGTACATCTATGAATGATAGTTTGTTGTTTAACTCCTTTGTCATTGCAAATTTTGTCATCGAAGACCTCGTTATTCACTTATGATAATGGAAACGTGTACGGATAAAAACACACGAATAATTTCAATACATTCAGATAATCTGAAGACTTCAATTTCAAGAGTTTGTTTTTAAAATGCTACAACGAGTTCATGGTTGTGGAGTTTCTACCCTAGCAGCTTTTAAATTCTGTTCGTTCAAAGTAAAGAACTGTTCTTTGCTTGATATGCACAATCACATTCAACGGGCGATATATACTAGCAGATTGTAATGAACGATATAAACATTGAACGATACATCTTATAGTAATGAAATAATTGCCTCGACAGTGAACTCTCAGATCATAGCTTTTTAAATTATGAACAATCATAGAACCATAAATTCAAGCAATGAGAGATACAATCAAGATATAGAAGTAAACAACGACAGGTTTAAGGTCAACAAAAACCAATGAACACCTAGGTCTACAGGACAAGCTGTGAGCTGTATGTGAAGGGATTCGAACACTTCACTTCTACCTGAAGTTTTCACTGATGATGTCATTCAGAAGAACGATGAAATGTCTACGATCAAACCATCCAGGTCAGAGTTTTTATCCCTAGAGCTTAAACAAATTTGTTTAAACTGGCTGGTATTTATTTTTTATTTTATCAAGCGTTAAATTCGAAAGAATAGTTCGTTTACATAACTTTACTACTGACATTTTGTAAGCAACACAAACGTCAAGAACTTGTCCGTGCATACAACTTATTTCAAAAAAGTAAACGAAGTTGTAAAAGAGGATGAACATCATTCAAGGTTCAATCGCGTGAAGTAATGGAGGTAATGGTAATGGTATTGAACGTTGATATATATCTGGGATTTCTTCTTTTTTCAAAAGTTTTAACAAAGCATCAGCATATTCACCATAGTAAATTCGTTTCACATCATCCGACAGATATATTCCATATTTAGCTTTATACATCTTATCTATTGTATGCAAATCTATCTGAAATATAATGAAGTAAGAATCATAAATACGACTTATACTTGTCATTAAAATGTAGTTGCAACAAAAATACAAGGCAAAATGCACTGCTGAAGAGTCCCATAATAAGACGAAATTGTGTTCCAGTGCTTCCAGGTTTTCATGATGGTGTAGCTCCAATTGACTCATGATTTCAACGATGAAACTACTGAAATCGCCACAAAACTCCTTCTGAACCAAAAACGTAGATAAACGGTAATTTATAACCATTCTCAATAAAATAACCAATATTAGGTAAAAAACGTAATTCAACCTTTAATTCAACTGATATATATCCGAATTAATTGAAGGATTAGTTCGGAGGTTTGAACATGCAAAACGGTACTTACAAGCCAATAATGATGTATCTACCCTATCAATGTTAAAATTAACCCTGGACATGGAATGTTAGTTCAATCTTTACACAGATACAGTGATCTAATAGAAATTGTATGAAAACTGTAAATCCATTGAAATTGTCGATGAATATCTGTTAGATGGCTTATTTGTTCCCTTGAAGTAAAAAAATGTAGAATATTGGAGCTCATGTGCACCATTGGTTTGGAATTAAGGTTTCCCAACTCCCCCAAGGTGAACTTTCCGTGTCCACCAACTCGGTTAAAGCGCCGGCCGTTCGCTGTTCGTCCTCTCGATATCGTAAACAACACCCGTGTGGCGAGAACGCATTGAGTAGGACTTCGCTGGCAGAGGCTATATACGCGTGGCCATGTGAGAGCATTTCGAAAGGGAGAGCGGACTCTCACCACTCTTGGCCGTATCAGGGTATTGGGAGGCGTTTATGCCTTTGCTTGAGTGTATGGATTCTAATATATTATCGTTTCGTTCCACTAGAAGATATACAAGAACTAAGATAAAAATGTAGTGGATGAATAGTAGCTGATTAGATAACACCTGACAGGAGTTTGCATGATTTTAAATATTTATTTAGAACTAAAATAATAACCTCAAAAGATTTATTACACACCCTGAAAGCTGCCTTCAGCAGTTTGCGCAATAAATAAAAATCTTTTTTCAAAATGAAAGAATAATGAACAAGAAGAAAGAATAATAAGTAGTATACGAAAACCTACAAATCGTAAAGCTGAATGTCCACTAATGTGAAAAACACGTAGCTCGTTTATATAGTAAGTCACACGGAAAATTTTAATCGATAACAGTAAAACATGAGAAGACCAAGAGAGATAAGACGGGATCATTACACCAAGATAAAAGACCTTCGACGGTTTTTGTACACGATCTGGAATAGTACAACTTTTATCGGATTCCAATAGTTTGTTTATGTTTTGTTCTGGTTTTAGGAATAAATTGTTACTTTGACATTCAGAAGGATTAGCTGTCAGACTATTTGGAAAAGAACATCATTTAAGGGAAACTCATTCATTACTAAAGAACCTAAAGAGAATGAAATTGGTTCACATACAGTGAGATCAACCATAAAACTGATAAAACTGTTCTCTATAACCAGTACGTCATGCAGAATAAAAGCATGAAAACGTTAAGAAGAAAATCAGTTCCTTCTAGCAGACCTTAACTATTGATTAAAAACACTTTCCACTGAACATAGAATAATGTTTTTTTTCCAGCGAAATAAAAACATAGTCAACCAGTTAACCAGCTATCCTTATTGAAGTGACCCACCTTGAATGTCAAATCAAGAGAAATCGTATAGAAACGAGCATAGAACATACTTCATACGCTTTTCCAAACCGAACATCATATTATGATGCAAAACAACAGCAGTATTCAGGGTAGGTATTTTTTATTTGTAAATAATTTAATATGGATGGGTATAACTCTTTTATTACTGGCTTAAGGATTGGTACAAATGGTGTTCCGATAGTCTTAAGTAAAATTAAATCTATTGCTATTTCAAGCAGAGATGAATGGTGGCTAGTAGTGGAACTCACAATGCGCGATCCATTCTGTTTTAAACTTGTCAGCTGGATGTACCTGCATCTCAGATTTGATGTTCACTCCAGTGCAATATCAAGACAATCCGTATAGAATGCACACATGCCAATAAGAGGCTGATCAATTGAAGTCTCAAACGTGAATGAGAACATTCAAACAACCAAGACAAAAATTAGTTACTGCTATTGTCTCAATTTAGCCTTTTCAACTCTAAATACTTTCTTTGTTATCGGAATTATCTTTAATCTTTCTTCACATTTTTGGCATAAAAAGATTCGTTAAAACTGCTGTTGTATCGATCGCACAGAATGTTAGCGTACTTCATAAGAAAGAGTTTTGGAATTTCTTCATGTCATAAACATTGAGACACCTTAAGAGACTGTATTCATTTTTAGTCCTCAATTTCAGTACAATTTGAGATACAACTCTTCTTAAAACTTGCGGGTACGAAAGCATGAAATCGGAGGATAGGCTTATAAAAATTTTGTTCAAGTTCCAAATTTTTCAACTAAACATTGACATTATCGTATTTCCCACCTAACTGAAAAGTTTCTACGAGATAAGAGTTTCTTAGTAGACACTGGATTGACGTATTTTATTTCTTGGTTCGTCAGATCATTTGGCTTTTCAACTTCAGCGAAGTTTCTCTATTTGTAAATTGTTTCTTTTTATTATGACGTCTGCTTAATTGCAGGAATGTTTGTTTGGTCAAAACGTTCCACAATAGTCTCAGTAGAAAAGTAAATGTCAAAGCAGAATGCAGAATACGTGTTAACATTAATTGTGTTTACGAATAAGTTATTTGTGAGAGAGGACAAATCAGCTTCCAACTGAAGAGGAAATTAGGAAAAGACGTTGGAAGTGGATCAGACACAGATCACGGAAATCATCAATGTACATTACAAGGCAATCCCTTACTTGGAATCCGGAAAGGAAGCGGAAAAGAGAAAGGCTGAAGAACACATTACGTCGGGAAATAGAAGCAGATATGAAAAGGATGAATAACAACTGGAAAGGAAGGCTCAGGACAGAGTTGGATGGACAATGCTGGTGAGCGGCCTATGCTCCTTGACGAGGGGTAATAGGTGTACGTAAGTAAGTAAGTAAGAATGAATCTCAGTTTGACGTACGTAGTATATTTTTCAGATCTTGGACATTTTATTTTGAGTAATTCCTGTATTGAACTTCCTCTATTTGACGTTTTAATATTCTCTTTCTAAGCTTGCCATATTGATGGAGTAGATTTAGAATAACAATGATCAATAATAAGCGATGGAGCACATCAAATGTCACAAATATTCCTACATCAATAATGAAAGTTTAACTCTGATGAGGATTAATCGAGAAAATGAGTCACATTTTGATTAGACATTAATGATAGAAAGTTATATTCATATATATTTAGATTGCCACGTATAGTTTCAAGTAAACCATTAGAGGCAGTAACAACGAAGTAGTGATTTATAAAGGAAAACAGTAAGTGCATACGGTATGCAGTCCAGAGTCACACAACTATCGATAAAATAAACATAGTTGTATTTATTCAAGTGTGTTAAACACTTGAGACTGTCGTCTAAGAACTTAAAACATACAGATTTTGATTAACACTATTTGCAAATTAGGCTACACTGATGCCGTACGTTTTCTTATTGCTTGATCGCTGCTGATGACAAACATATAAGACATGTGGCAATACTGTAGTGAATGAGAACACGGGCGGGAATAATCGAATGTATTTAAGCAAAAATTATAGACTGTCTCACAAAAATCTGATAACCATACAGTTGACAGTTAACTTGCAAAATAACCATCAATTGTCTCAATCTTGACTGTTCCTTCTGCAAATATCAGTCATTCATGCATTTTCATACTGATTGTGCTTCGTTCCTATTATTTTGTAATCTAGCATCTGCCAAAATACATTCTATGCCTGACTTACACCATATACTACTTATGTGAAAATAAGTAACCACACGACAATACTAAATAATCGTCATATAAGTCATTCAATTATGATTCTGGAATTATGTTTGAACCACATATACGTTACATGTTTGCATTTAGTATTGATTTAAGATAGTCCTCTATACCATTTAGTAATGGGAATTTGAAAAATAACAGTTTGAGAATCGATACTTGATTACCCGTTATTCTCTTCAACGCATATTCCCAGCGATCCTGAAGTCTCGGATTGTAATTTTTAACATCGTTAAGTGATTTGACTCTAATGATATGTAAATACAAGAAAAGATAACTTGTCGAAATATTTAGGTGGTAGGAGAAATAATCAGTTCAAAGGTTTAAGTAACTAGCGAAGTTCGAAATCTGTGTTATCTCATTTGTTAACGTCCTAGAATATCGAATTTGTCAGTGGACAAAAATTATTCACCAGCCTAGAACAATATATTGATCATATGAATCTCATCATTTGAAATGATTAGTGATATGTAAACAGGTTTAAAACTGGATTCACTTAGCTTCTGTATTGAGACCATGTAAAAAAGACAAACCGGAGAGACTAAACTATACTGCCGACCTTTGAGCGAATCTTAAATGACCTTGAGAAATATTAGCTAATCAGAAGACTGTTAGTATACAGTGAAATAAATAATACAAAACTCAAAAATCAAAGGAGATACTGCTCTTTTACATGACTTAAAAACTTCTCAAGGTCAGATTTAGGTTCAAAAGTTCTAAAATCATAGTGCATACGGTACAGGAACACATCCATATGGCTCCATAGTAGTTGACCTCTGAAACGATGATAAAATCTAAAAAATTCTTTTAGCCTCGACCACATAGCTTCTATGTTGTTGGTATATTGGTATGAATTACGGTTTAGGGTTAGAGTTAAGGGTGAGACCATAAGTTATGGACGACCTATGAGCGACGCTAGAGTGATACTGAGAGTGTCAACATAATAACTAAGACAAAATGAGGCCTATAAACCTGTGAGGAATTCAAATTATGATTTACGGTTCATGGTTAAGGCTAGGAATTTTACTTGGGGTTTTCATCACGAACTGACATAAGCTATATTGCCAAAACTCTATTTATCCAAATGGATAATTGAATTTAGCGCCAAAATCTTATGATCACTTTTCTTGTAGATGCTGAATTGTCACCTCTTATCTAAAATTCGCTCTAAACCTACTAGGGTCCAAAAACAAAACCTCTGTTTTAAAGCATAAACATGAAGCCACAGAAACATGGGTCTGAAATTCAATAGCTGACATGAATCCGCTCACTAGGTATTCCCCTCTCTTTTTACCTTCTAGACTGTCGAATTCATTACAGCACAAATGATTATTTGTCAACCCCAGAAAAATGTGTTTACTATATGATTCACATGGTTTGAAAGACATGTGAATCTATGTAGATACAAATTATCAAGATTCGAATAGTTCTTTCACTTTTATACTTCCGTCCAAATAAATTGAATAAATGTTAACATTGAATTTTTTTTACGTAATCTGTATAAACGTACTTCAGAACGGAAAAGTAAGAAACGTTGTACACCTAAAACTTCAATGAGTTCTTTATGAAGCTCATCATGAATTAACGTTGCAAAGTACATTGGTTTGTTAATAGAATAATTATCCGAAATTGAATATACAAAGATAGAAGTTGTACTGAACTACAGAACGGAGCTCAATAAAACGTCAAGCCAACGATGAGTATAATTTGATAATTATGATACTGGATCAGTCATCCTGTTTAAAATAAAAGTTCAGAAGGGGTTTTGTGGAGATTTCAGTATTTTCATAGTTTAAATCATGAGTCAATTGAAGCTAGAGTGCGGGATAATGGATGCGCACTGCTGAGGAGTCCCATAATAGGACGAAACGGACGTCCAGTGTTTCCAGGTTTTTCATGATGGTCTACCTTCAATTGACTCATGCTTTGAACTATGAAAATACTGAAATCTTCACAAAATCCCTTCTCAATATGAGATCTAATCAAATCGTTAATTTTATAGTTAAGATCATGAGTCAATTGAAGCTAGACCACCATCGAAAACCTGGAAGCACTGGACGGCCGTTTCGTCCTATTATGGGACTCCTCAGCAGTGCGCATCCACGAACCCGCTCTCGCGAGATTCGAACCCAGGACCTACCAGTCTCGAGCCAGAGCCCTTAACCGATAGACCACTGAGCTGGCATCCAACGGTGTTAATGTCTAACCTCAATCAATCCACGAAATTGCGCGACCAACTTCCGATGTACCGAGGTAGATACCTGTCTCTACCTGACATGGATTAGCTCCACTGGCCACGACTTCTCACTAGAACTCCAGGAATTACCTCAAGGAGCCAGTCACTAGTGAGCATATGATCATTATCACAAGGGGGTTTTTGTGGAGATTTAGTAATTTTATAGTTAAGATCATGAGTCAATTGAAGCTAGACCACCATCGAAAACCTGGTAGGTCCTGGGTTCGAATCTCGCGAGAGCGGGTTCGTGGATGCGCACTGCTGAGGAGTCCCATAATAGGACGAAACGGCCGTCCAGTGCTTCCAGGTTTTCGATGGTGGTCTAGCTTCAATTGACTCATGATCTTAACTATAAAATTACTAAATCTCCACAAAAACCCCCTTGTGACAAATCGTTAATGTTGGAATGACTAATATAAAAAGGTGTTAACTTGGATCAATTTATAAGTGAAATGAAATTGTGAGATAAATGATCAGAATATATATAGTTGACAAGGGGGTGAGAGATAGAAAAATGAGATTACAAATCAGAAATTACGTAATATATGGAATAATATGAATTAGGTCAGATATAGTAGATAAGGGTGGATGCTGAATAAATTTCTCTAGAAAGGTTAGCAAGTGTAATAATAATGGTAATGACAATGGTAAGATGTGTAGATAAAATAAGTGAATATTAATCAAATTACGTCACCATATTATTAACAAGTTGACCCTGAAGTTGGCCAGTGTAAAAGGAGTGGCTGGGCATATTTTTTTGGTATTTGAAGCTCTAGCTTTTAGATCCGGATAGCAATCGCCTCAGACGGCTGAGACAAGCTTATGAAAACGAAGATTTCTTAGATGCTGTTTTAAAAATTACGATTTATCTTCAACCACAAAATTGTTTTGATTTAAGTTCATGGATGGTAAGAGCTTCGGTTACTTTTGGACACTAAGGGATCTCTTTTCAACGAAATTATTATCAAGCTGTACAACCGTTGAAAAGAGATCCCTTCGTATTCAACTCCACAAAATTGTTTACCATGATTTTAAGTAGATGAATAAAAATCAGATAATTCTCGTGTTTTATTTATGCCAAGGAAATTACGGATTTCATGTGGACACTATACAAGACACGTCAAGTAATATATCCCTCACCTGATCAAAAATATAAAGTGGTGGTTGATTAGTACCTGACTATCATGACTATCGTAACCAATGGTTGGAGACTCTAGGTGACATGGCTCAGAATCGATCACAATCGCGTAGGTGTATACACTCTTTATCTTCCCTTAAACCTTGAGATTAAAATTGTTGCATAACTTTCTTCCTTCCTATACTATATCCTTATATACAACCTATCTTTCATATACTACCACCACTAAATTAACTAATTCCATGAATCCGGTGTTCATCTTGTTGTGATAACGAGATATGGCAACTTGGACCGATGCATAAATATGCCTGGTCCTACGTTGTAGATGACTGACTGACTGAGTACCTGACTGACTAATGAAATGGAGCTTTTATTGTACTGGATCATTTCCATAATAAACAGGAACTTACCAAAAAAAAATTGTGTTTTTTAAAAATGGAATTTCGTTCTCTGAGCTGGATGGTTTGGTCGCGTAGCTTTCATCAAAATCACCCACGTGAGCTAAAAATTTTCTCCATCATCGTGTTTTTATTTTCATTGAAACACAAAACTTTTATTTACAAATCGTTTGTAAAACTGTTACTTTAAAAGAAACTAACTCGTTCACTTTTTTTGTATCCTGATCACAAATTGAAAATTTCGTTATACACTTTATTCTTTAATCTTTTTCCTTTTTTGCCCCTAAATGTCCTGGTACGGGTGAGAGAGGGGAGAGTTCACTCGCTCTCTCTCCAAATGCTTTCATAAAGTCACGCGTATATAGCCTCTGTCGAGGAAGTCCTACTCACTGCCTTCTCGTGGCACCGGCGTTGTTTACGAAATTAAGAAGACAAAAAGCGAATGTTCGGCGCTTTAACCAGGTTGGTGGACACTGCAAGTCCACCTAAGGGGAGTTGGAAAACCCTGATTCCAAACCAATGATGCACATGGGCTGGCTCCAGTATCCTGAGGGAACAAATGGAGTATGAGTGAATCGTTGGTCACCGGAAACCATGGAACTGCATCTCCTCACGATGCTCCACTGCTTTGTGGATCAGACCTTTAGGTCGAAGGCTCTGGGTGTGGCCCCCTTAGAAAGCCACCTGCTTCTATCTGGGCACCCGTGCGGTATCACAGCCGTCACATAAATGAAATGAGATTTGTGTGGTGCATATATACGTGGTCCCCCTTTGTACAAATATTTATGTGTTTAAATAAATAATAAATTTCCTTAGTTAATATTAGATGATCTACGTAGTATATAGTTTATGTATTTTGATTAATTCTTACGTGATTTTTATAACAGTAGATACATATTATTGGGGTAGTGTTTTTTCTTAGAGAGTTAGTTTTCTATGGGATGGAGTCGCTAACCTCGTACTCAACCCTTTTCTTTTTAAATGTGGGATTGGAACTGGCGGTAGCTCCAGAGGAACTCCACGTGTATTTATATATATCACCATATAGTATAACTGTTAAACATGTTTACAATTACCCATTAAAAACATATTTGGATGAGCTGGATATTCATGGATTATGTTGTAGCTATTCAGGAGGTATTTTCTTGAGCATTCAAAATGAGGTAAATGATATATACGCTGAAAATGAGGTCCATTCAATAAAAACGTTTATATTTACTTGAGAAAACGTATGCTAGATTGATAGTACTTACACATTGCTACTAAAATATTATGCAGTTGACCAGACGTCCTACTTTCAAGAACTTCACCAAATTGTCTAACGGGTTTCTTCGAAACAACATATGGATAGGAAGAAACAAATAAACAAAGAAAAATCAATACATCAGAAAAGATTCAAAGATTAAGAATCTGTCTCAAGATGGTCATACTTACTTACTTTACTTACACCTGTTACTCCCAATGGAGCATAGGCCGCAAACCAGCATTCTCCAAACCACTCTGTCCAGGTTCCTTCTTTTCTAGTTCTATTCATTTTTCTCATGTCTGTCTATATTTCTCGGCGTAATGTGTTCTTTGGTCTTCCTCTTCTCCTTTGGCCTTCAGGATTCCATGTGGGGCTTGTCTCGTGACGCGACTGGGTGATTTCCTCAAAGTGTACCCAATCCTTTTCCAGCACTTCTTCCTGATTTCTTCCTCCGCTGGAATCTAGTTTGTTGTCTCCCACAGTGGAATGCTGCTGATAGTGTCTGATCAACGGATTCGAAGTATCTTGCGTGGACAACTATTAATAAACACTTGTATCTTCTGGATGATGACCTTCGAAATTCCCCAAGTTTCCGCCCTATACAGTAGAACTGTCATGACATTGTTTTGAAAATTCTGATTTTGGTGTTGTTTGACAATCGTTTTGATTTCCAGATATTCTCCAGTTGTAAATATTCTGCTCTTGCTTTGCCGATCCTCGCCCTTACATTTGCATCAGATCCACCATGTTCACCAATGATGCTGGCCAGATAATGTAAAGATTTCCACATCCTCCAAAGCTTCTCAGTCAAGTATAATTTGATTGATGCATGTTGTATTGAATCGGAGAGTCTTGCTTTACCCTTTGTTTATATTGAGACCTACTGCTACTGAGGCTGCTGCTACACTGGTCGTTTTCTCCTGCATTTGTTGTTGCGTTTGTGATAGAAGAGCCAGATTATCTGCGAAGTCTAAATCGTCCAGCTGGATCCTACCTGTCCACTGTATCCAGTGCTTTCCTCCAGATGTTGACGTCTTCATGATCCAGTCGATGACCAGGAGAAAGAGAAGGGGTGAGAGTAAGGAACATTGCCTAACACCGGTCTTTACCTCGACTGAGTCGGTAAGTTGTCCTCCATGGACGATTTGGCAGTTTAATCAATCATAGTAGTTCCGTGTGATATTGACTATCTTTTCAGGCACGCCGTAGTGTCGAAGAAGCCCCCATAGTGGTGTCAAGATGGTCATACTTTGAAATAATTATGAGGTTAATAAAATGACATTTATAAAAGTAGATATGTTAACCAATCAATAAATTAACTTGATAGTATCAATTGATAGACATACTCGTTTATAAATCATATTCAATCTTTGAAATTGAAATGGATCAAGTTTACATAGACGTTGACCAAGTTGCTGTCCTACATCTTTGCTGAAATCAAAAATGAAATTCATCAACAACGTTCTTAACAGGATTAGTTACAAGAGATTGAATGAAAATTAAATATGATGAGAGGATTCCATCTTTTGACAAACAACAGGCTGACGTATGAACTTTCTAAAGAATTTTCAATTTTGATTGAGATCGTGGACCGATCGATATTAAACCACAATTAAAAACTTGGAAGCACTGAACGGCCGTCTCGTTCTAATTTGAGACTCTTCAGCACTGCGCATCTACGATCCCGCGAGCGTAATCTAACATCAATCAGTTCATGATCTTAATTACAAACATAGTAATACTCACAAACCAATACTGAAATTTCGATATATTAGACATAGCTGCTATTAGTCACAAAAACGATTATTATTATTTGTTTAAACACATAAATATTGGTACAAAGAAGCGCCAGATACATATGCGCCGCACAAATCTCATTTGATTTATGTGAGGGATATGATGCTGCCCAAGTGCTCAAACCGAAGCATGTGGTTTTATTAGAGGCCCATACTCACAGCCTTTGACATAAAGGTCTGATCCACAAGGCAGTGGAGCATCGAGAGGAGATGCAGTTCCATGGTAGTTGGTGACCAAAAACTGGTTCATACATCATTTGTTCCCTCAGGATACTGGAGCCAGCCTATGTGCACCATCGGTTTGAAATCAGGATTTTCCGACTCCCGTAGGTGGACTTCCTGTGTCTACCAACCAGTTTAAAGCTCCTGTCGGAGATTCGCTTTTCGTTCTATCAATTTCGTTAACAGAACCTCAGTGGCAAGAGGCAGTGAGTGGGAGTTCCCTGACAGCGGCTATATACGCGGGGTCATGTAAGAGCATTTGGAGAGGGAGAGCAGACTCTCTCCACTCTCGGCCGTACCAGCGGATTCGGGGGCTCACAAAAACCAACATCGTAACAAATATTTCGAGGTACAAAAATCATTATCGTCTTAAGAATCAATAACTTCACCAAGAAAACATTTGTCATCAGTAGAGAAATTCTGGGATTAATATGTGTGTAATCATCAGTTGTCAGCTAATCATTAGAAATACATAATAAAGTAAGGTTTTATAAAACTCTGCATTTGTAAAGGATAGCCACCATAAAATCTTCGTTCTGAGACTAAAACAAAGACTTGTAAGCAAAGATGGATAGTTGCTAGCAGTGGAATCCAGGACGCGCGTTCCGTCCTATTTGGGACCCGTCATCTAGATGCACCTGCATCTCAGAGTTGATGTTCACTCTGGGACTCGAACGCAGTACTTTTCGCTTCAAACAATACTAAATGGATTTGAAACAAAGACTTTTATTTGTAATGGACTGAGTAATAGAACATAGTTTCTCTATTGTCGGTGAAAAGATACATTATAACTGAGTTAGTTGAGAACTTGTGACTATTTTTTATAAAGTACTAATGATCACTTTGAAAGTACATACAAAGGATTTGATAATTGTTAAGGATTTTCAAGTGGCTGTTTACTATTATATGAAATCTCTCAAAAGATCTGTATCTGCAACGAATAATGATGCTTTTGAACAGTATAGATGCCAGCTAATAGCTTAAGTTGAGTTTGCCGCAGAACTTTAATTTATGAACGACAGTCGAGCGACGTTGAAGTGTCCTTGAGAGTGTCCACTTAATAACTAGTACCAAGTGAGGGTTATAATCCACTGTGAGGAACTAAAATCACGATGGCTAAGTTAAGAAATTAGATTTAAGGTTTTTATCACTAACTAACATCAGCTTTAGTGCCAAAACGCTATTCTAGTGATAAGCAGTGATCAGTGGAGTTCAACCAAGTTTGTTGTAGAAAAATCAACTCGCTGAAGACCATTGGTGAACAGTTGCTCAAAATCATGTATCGGTTGAAGTTGAACATTACCACCGTTGGATGCCGGATCAGTGTTCTAGAGGCAAAGTCCTAGCGCGAGAGACTGGTAGGTCCTGTGTTCGAATCCCGCGAGTGCGGTATCATGGACGTGCACTGCTGAGGAGTCCCATAATATGACGAAACGACCGTCCAGTGCTTCTAGGTTTTCGATGGTGGTCTAGCTTCAATTTACTTATGATTTCAACTGTGAAAAAATGCTATTTGGTCAAATGTATGAATAAATTTAGCGTCAAAATCAAAGACTTGTAATCTTATATCTTAATGGTTCGTCCATAAATCATAGTCTCACCGAGTTTGCATAAACAATAACTCTGGAATTTAAATTTACACTATTTAACTGTAGCTGTCATAACTTTCTGTCCTAAAATGGCTTCAAATATCAATATGAAATACACATTTGAATAATCTGTACAATGAACAATAAAATTAAGAATAGAATCTTTTTTAGCAGGCGAAAGCACATTTTCTTCCGAACTACAATCTTTATGTATGAAATAACAAGATGACAAGCAGACTCAATGAAGTTTAAGAATATTGGAATCAGGGTTTTCCAACTCTCCACCAACCCCGTTAAAGCGCCGGACATTCGCTTTCCGTCCTCTCAATTTCGTAAACAACAGTAATGCCACTAGAAGGCAGTGAGTAGGACTTCCCTGACAGAGGCTATATACGCGTGGCCATGTGAGAGCATTTGGAGAGGGAGAGCGGACTCTACCCACTCTCGGTCGTACCAGCGCATTTAGGAAATAGAATCTTTTATAACAGGCGAAAACGCGTTTCCTTCCGAACTCCAATCTTCGTGAATGAAATAACATGACGAAAAGCAAAGTCGATGAAGGTTGGGAATATTTAAACATCTTGAGTGAAATATAAACACTTGTTCATGCAAAAAATCTGACTAATACTAAAAACCGATAAGTTACTCAGTGTTTTCCCAAAATTTGGACGTACTTAGAATCCAACACGACCATTATGTCATAAAACACCTCACTAACTGCTGTTTTGTTAACTATCGGTTTAACACCTCGACCTTTTATTGGATCTTCTTGTTTAGGTTCATTTTTCCTTGTTTCAACTATACAATGTAAAGTACTTTTTACAGATTTTCCGAAGTGTTTCTCTATAGATTTCCAGAATGGTTCTACAGAATCTGCAATGTAGAAATCAGAGTTTGTAGAATTCACGTTATTTATTGATGAATGAATGAAAATGTAATAATTAGGGTGCACTACTTCTTTAATACTTTTAAGGCTGAATATAAGTTTAACATTCAAACAGTACAGAGGATGAACTTGTAGATGGCGACGAGTCTTGATTGACTGTGATCACCACTATAGTAAGATTACGAGCCTGAAATCGACTTGATTCCTTTGATAACTCATAAACCAGAAGTATATTTATTGGTGATCTCGTGGCATCGAAAGAATACCGAGACATGAAAACGAGTACAGAAAATAAGGGCAGAGAGTAAGAAAGTACGAATGGACAAGGCGGGCGACCGAACGAAAGGTGATTTTGATACAGTTAAACAAAACGAGTGCAGTAGAACAATCACTGGTACTTTTGATTATAATAATAATAATTGTTTTCGTTATACCAATCGCGTTCTCATCGAGAAAATCAGGTCACTACAAACTTTCACTGCAAACGCAGTAATATACATTGATAAAATTCGAGGATAAATTTCATGAAGAAAGATGTCGAATCATCAGAATTCATGGGTTTTGGACCACCTAACGTGTATATGTAAGCTGCCGTATTCATTCACTCCCGTCAGCAATTCTGTGCTATCATAAGCATTGTTATTTATTTTGGTTAGAGTTAGTGATGAATTGTGAGACATGTAATTCATTTTACTTCGCCCTAGTCATCTAGAAGCATTTGGATTTTAGTGCTGGAGTTCGAACTTGGATAAGTTAACTATCAATCACAAAATGAACACAAATTTCCTTCGGATACTAAGTTCATTAGCTTAAAGGGGAGTAATACTTCCTTCTAATAGTTTTTAGACTATAAGTGCTAAAATGTTTGACTTAACTAGCTGACATAATCCAGAACGTTGCTCTCTTTTCCACTTTTATACAACATGTAATGGTAAGAAATGGAATAAAAAATAAGCATATAAAATGTACTGACATATTTTATAAGCATTTTCTACTTGATCAAATTCATCACCCCAGAAATCAATCAGTATACTTGTCGTTCTCCGTAAATCGGAAGACATTATTGCTCTGTACAATTCATCAGCTAATAAAATAGATGTGTCTGTTAGTAGGTCTTCAAATAACTGATACATTAATCCCGATTTAATGTTTTCTTTTTCGTTCAATAGGGGCTAAATAGTAAAGAAAACAAGACCGTTAGTAATATTATAGAATAGGGCTACGAATGACGGTTATGGAACGTACTTTTAGACAGATCACTCAACAAGCGTTTAACTCCGTGGGTCTTAAAAAATAATAGATATGTAGTAGTTAACTACAAAATCATATAGTTAATACGTTTAAATCACTGAGGATAATTTACTGTCTTCTATAATACCTTTCATTTGATATTCGAACATGTAGAAAGTTATATGAATTTCATTTAGTAATCGCAGTCTTAGCGGCCAAATTAGTCAGAAATTAGTTCATCAATTATGATACCAGTAAGTTGAACTGAAGAAAATAAACTTTTTCAGAAAACAATTTCTACCATTTGAAATCATTCGAACTTCTTACAAAGATGTCCTAATTAGTTACGATGACTTGATTTTGGTGTAACTAAATGAACTTTTTCACAGTTGAAAACATGAACTAATTGGAGCTAGACCATCATGGAAAACCTAGAAGCACTGGACGGCTGTTTCGTCCTATTATGGGACTCCTCAGTAGTGCGCATCAACGATTTGAACCCAGCAACTACCAGTCTCGTGCCAGAGCACTCAACTGATAAACCACTGAACCAACTTTTATCCAACATTATCTACAATCTACTTGGACATTTCAAATTAACATTCATTTGACGAATCATTTTTTAGTTTTAAAAGCTTCTGAAATCATTTTCGAGGAATTCGCTGAGGTCCGCTGATAAGTAATACTGATCCTCGTTTCTTACTAGTTATAGGGACTTAGTAAATGATCTGTCGTCATTATTATCATCTTCTAAGATACATTTAGGAACGATCTGAATGCAAAAACGTATTACACAGTATTTTAATAAAAGGCATCATAGACAAACCTTTTTTAAAATCCTGTTGTACTGATGCATAATATTTTGTCGTTCTGCATTTGTACTTGATAACAAAACATTCATAATCATCTCTGTTTGGTGAGCTGTGAAGTATCGAAGATTAAAAGGTTTAATACATTCATCATATTATAGACATAGATATGTGAACAAAAGATTTTCTGAAGGGGTTTGGTGGAGATTTTAGTAATTTTATAGAGTTGAGGTCATGAGGCAATTAAAGACATTAACACCGTTGGATACCGGCTCAGTCGTCTATCGGTTAAGTTCTCCGGCGCGAGACTGGTTTGTCCTGGGTTGGAATCTCGCGAGTGCGGGATCGTGGATATGCACTACTGAGGAGTCCCATAACAGGACGAAACGGTGGACCATTGCTTTCAGGTTTTCCATGGTTGTTTAGCTTCAATTGCCTCATGATCTCAACTCTATAAAAAGATTGTTTAACAAGTGTTTATTATATCCTACGGTTATAAATACAAATTAATGTTCTGAATGATGAATTCAGGGCTTAGGAAGACATTATAAAAGCCACAGGTTATGAGACCAAGGCTTAAAAGTGTAGGGTTTTGTAGAGATCACAGAATTTTCACAACATAAATCATATCCATTTGGATTCAGAATACAGTGAACATCTGTTTCGTCCATCAGTGGAGCTCCTCTATGTTTCAAATCCAAGAGGCTGACACAGTGAATAGAACTCTGGATTTATAGTCCTACATTCCAACAACTGTTATTTTGATCGCTAAGCCATACAATACATTTTGCTGAACGTTTTGTGAGCTTTAGGTACAATCCATGTATTCAATGCATTCAACTGTGGCTACTAGAGTCAAAAGTAAATTACTTAGGTTATCCATCTTTTTTTTGTATTTATCGGTTCATCTGCCGTTGTAGATCATGTTACATAGACAGGAACTCGTAATGTCGTGCTCAAAAAAAACTTATCAGTATTATTCTCATATTTTCAATGTAAGTTAACAGAACACACACACATTTCAACAAATTGATTTACATTTACGCTTATTATCAGTATTTATGACATCAATTGACTCGCAGGCCGAATCAGTTAAGCAATGTCCACTTACCTTTAGTAGTATTTCCCATTTTGTAGACCTTTATGTCAGCAGACGTTCCAGAACTAACTATCTTTGGCTCATGAAGAATTCCTTCCACATTGACATGATGAAGCTGTGAACGAACGAATGGTGGTCTGAAATGATGGAAAATTGAACTGCAGTTTAAAATTCAAAGGACAAAATCCAATTTAAAATCTATCTGTTTAAATAACGTATTCCAGATTGCATGTTATTTAGTTTCGGTATGTTTGGATACTAAAGAATGTTATTGAATCAAAGTTAGAAGTCATAATTATCGTATGTTAACACACAATCGACAGGAGGGACTGACGTTTCGTCCTATTACGGGACTCCTCAGTAATGCGCATCCACGATCTCGCATTCGCGAGATTTGAACCAAGGACCTACTAGTTTCGCGCGCGAGCACATAACCTCTAGACCACTAGTCCGGCATCCAGCGATTGCTCACTAAATGTCTATCAAAACATTTGTCAATCATATCATGAGAGAAATCATCAAAGTTTAGGTTATAAATAGAAAGCTAACAGCAAGGAGAAGAGGACGACTAAAGAACACATTACGCCGAGAAATGGAGATAGATATGAGAAAAGTGAACAAAAATTGGATAGGACTAGAATGGAAGTCCCAGGACAGAGTGTGTTGAAGCACGCTGGTCGGTGGCATATGCTCCATTGGGAGTAACAGGCGTAAGTAAGTAAATAAGCAAGTAAGTATGGGTTTGTCAATATGAACTGTTATGAATTGATTGAATGGATACTCAGCGGTGGAAAAGGATTTTTGAAAATAAAGCTACATTTTCAAATTAGAAGTTAGTATTGCACTAAACGTAAATGGAAAAGAGGAAGACCGAATTATGTACTGGGTCGAAAATGGGAAGCAGATATCAAAATGATGAATAGCAACTGGAAACAAATGGAAAGGATTGTTCCGCACAGAGTTGGATGGAGAATGCTAGTGAGAGGACTATGTTCCTCCATTACGGATAACAGGCGTAAGTAAGTAAGTTAGTAAGGATTATTCAACGCTATATCATAATTCTAACGATCATAAGTCTGATTGAGCATAGAAAAATTGATTATGAAACTGTTATAACAAGTATAAACTTACTTTGGTTCATCATAAGACTGAAATTGAAATTAGAATGTAATATTTATCAGTCAGTCAAGAATTGAAAATTTACAAATTATCATGGTTGAAATCATGAGTTTATTGAAGCTAGACCACCATGGAAAACCTGGAATCACTAGACGGCCGTTTCGTTCTATTATGGGACTCCTCAGGACGAAGCGGCCATCCAGTGTTTCCAGGTTTTCCATGGCCGTCTAGCTTCAATTGACTCATAATTTCAAGTATGTATAAAAATTACTTCAAATCTCCACAAACAACCCACTCATCATATGCTCACCAGTGACTGGCTCCTAGAGGTATTCTTTGGAGTTCTAGTGAGAAGCAGTAACCAGTGGAGTTCAACCAGGTCTGTTGTGAGTTATCAACTCACGGAAGACAATTGTGAAATGGTTGCTCAACTTCGTGGTTTGGCTGAAGTCAAACATTAACACCGTTAGATGCCGACTCAGTAGTTTTGAGGTTAAGTGCTCTGGCGCGAGACTGATAGGTCCTGGTTTCGAATCTCACGAGTGCAGGATCGTGGATGCGCTCTGCTGAGGAGTCCTATAATAGGACGAAACGGCCGTCCAGTGCTTCCAGCTTTTACATGGTGGTCTAGCATCAAGTATTTACAAACATTATAATCACAATCAAAGAATGTAACGTTTAAAGTCATGAAACGTATAACATATTTAAAAACAGTTCAACTTACCTGAAGTACCATCAATATGATCTCTGTTAGAATAAAATGTAAACCATTTACTAAATCTAATAACATTTTCAAGGAGTTCACTTATACCTATGACCACACCATAGTTTAATATTATTTAAATAGTTATCGCGAATTGACCAGTCATAAATAGCGGTGGGTGTAAATAGTCATGATGAATATTTTCATTCCATCAAAGTCAATAAACAATCTTAATGGTATGTTGTAACTGTTATGTAATGCGTGAATTATACATACAATTCTGTTATGTTTGTTTATATGGATTGATTGTTTTTTTGGATTTAAGTAAGTAACAAGATCATCATATGATCGAGATCATATCGCAATTTGTATTGTTTATTTACCTAAATGTAATTGTATACAGTTAAATGAATGATCAGATTTAATCTTACAAATGAAATGATTATTTAATGAATCGCATGTAAACGATTGTTTAAATGTGATTTGGAATATTTGAAATATAATATTACCAGATAGTATAAGTTTAATCTTATCCAAAACAATCTACCTTGATAATTATAACGAAATGATATGATACCCTCATATGATTTTGAGATAATGGAGAAGATTTGTAGCTCCGATGGATGATGTAGTTTTATGATGAGTTTTATTCCTCTGAGCTGGATGGCTTGGTCGTGGAGCTTTCATCGTCCTGCTGAATGACATCATCAACACAAACGTCGGGTAGAAGTGAAGTGTATAAATTTCTCCACATGTGGGTCACAGCTTGCACTGTGCACCTCGATGTTGATTGGTTCTTGTTGACCTTAAATTTGCCATTCTTTATTTCTTCTTTTTTATTGTGTCTCCCATTGGTTTGATTTTTGTTCCTATGTTTCTACGTAATTTTCATGACTGATTGGTTGATAAATTGGATTGATTTCAATGTTCTTGTTTATTGCTGATTGACCTTAGTGTCAAGCTTCTAAACATTACCTGGTATTTTTGAAATTGTCTCTATTCAAAATCTCAACATTTTTCTAATCGAATGTATGTCCACAGTTGTCCAAGTGCATTGATATAAGTGAAGAAATGTCATGGAGTTTGACTGGTTCATGAAGGCGAAGTTGTAGAAGGTGTCCGCTTTGTCTGATGTAGTGTTCATTGTAGTAGGCTCAATTTAATTTGTAGACGATGTTTGGTTTGTCTTCTTTTGTCATTTAATTCTTTGATTTGCATAGGATTGAATGGAGGGATTTTGTTGGTTTGTGAACAACTTCTATTCGAATGGTTTTCAGCAGTCTCGCTGTGGTTTCTGACATACTTTTTATGTATGGTAAGGTGACCCTTTTGTTAATTTTTGCACTTGACTTCGTTCCTAATGATGAGGGTGCGGCTGGAATTTTTTTGAAGTTGGTTGGGTAGCCTTTCTTTTGAAGAATGGTTTACAAGCACTTTTCTTCAATTTTTTGTGCTGTAATTGTGTTGCAGTGTGCCCTCGACCTCTTGAACAAGGTTTGTGCGCAGTTGATTTTGTGAGCTCTTGGGTCATTGATATTGTAGTTGGGAGTTTGATCAGTATGAGTTGGCTTCTTGTATATTTGAGTCTCCAGTTTACCTGCTTCGGTCTGGTGATTAATATATCCAAGAATGATAGCCTGTCGTTTGATCCTGTTCCACGGTGAGGTTGATATCATTGAAGATGTTGTTGATCAGCCTGTAGGTGTATTCTAGTTCATCCTGTTCGACAATGACGAATGTGTCGTCTACATAACGAATATAAATTTTCGGCCAGATCACTGGTAAGACCGCGGTTTCTAGTCTCTGCATTACTGCTTCTGCGATAAGTTCCGATATTGGTGATCCTACCGGTATCCCTTTTGTTTGTTGGTAGATTTTGTTGTTGAATTGAAAATATGTTGATAGGCATAAATCTATAAGTTCTAGTAGACTTTGACTTTGAAGTTTCGTGTACTTTGCGAGAATTTAGTCGTTGGTTACAAGACGAGACAGTTTCTTTTGCCAAGCTTGCTTCAATTGAGGTGATTGGCGCTGTTACATCGAAGCATATCATTAGCTCGTTGTAGTTGATTTGAATGTTCCTAATCTGATGAAGTAATTTTGTGGCGGATATGATGGAATGGTTCGACGAATCCACTAAATGTATCAATATTCGTGAAATTTTTCTTGACAAAATGTACGTTGACGTTCCGCGTAGTGCTACAATTGGACGCCGCCCCCAGACAGGAGAACCACACACTATACACGCTTCAACGCTACAATATGACCAGCACAACTCAATCACGCGTCACAATCACACAGGTACCAAGCACTCTGGTGGACCACAATTGATTGATCACTGGGTGGTGATCAATCTCATGCGTGTCAGGTCCTTAGTGCTGATCGAATGCTATCGATCAAGTTGCAATGTGGCCACCAGTCTAGGTGGCTCGACACTGCGGGCACTATATATATTAGGGTAACATGGTGGTTGGAGGTGGTCAACAGGAAACCCTGGACCCGGGTTTCTTAGATTAGATCTCAGTTGATTAGATCTCAGTCCTACAGGAGGTCGGTCGCCGCCCGAATAGCTCAGTGGTAACGTCTCTGACTGTGAAGCTGAGTGACGCGGGATCGAATCCGCCAGGGAGCATCAGTTCCCTCAAGATTACAGGTACACCTTGCTGACGAGTGCCAAGTAGCACGAAACCCGGGTCCAGGGTTTCCTGTTGACCACCTCCAACCACCATGTTACTCTGGTGGACCATTCGCACAATTCATATACATATTCACAACACATGTATCACATGTATTTCGATCAGTGATTGCGTAAGAACGCTTGAAACCCATTGTCTGGTGTCGGAATAGTAAGACAACACCACCAAGATCACTTTTATCTCATTTGCAAAATTTTCATGTTTCCGACTTTCCAGACCCTGAGTTAGGGGTAGTACCCCTATATAACATGACGAGTAAGAGCAGGTGTAAATAGTAAAATTTCAATTTCCATGTACATGTACATGTCATACATCATTGAATAGCACTTCATTGGATAAGTAACAAAAAAGAAATCCCATTGAAAAATAATAATTGATTTAAAAGCTATGAACAATGAAATAATAGTTTCGAGACTCATTCCTGCCAGACATCGACCTCAGGCTTAACCCGAACAGTATAGCTCAATCCCGCCGCCCCTAGACAAGAGAACCAGACACTATACACGCTTCAACGCTACAATCTGACCAGCACAGCTCAATCCTGTGGCGCAACCACACAGGTACCAAGCACTCTGGTGGACCATTCGCACCATTCGTATATACACTCACATCACGTGTATCACATGTATTTCCATCAGTGATTGCGCAAATCAAAGTTGACTCATTCCGATTACACCACAGTCAGACTCATTACTTTTAGCATTGGAGACATGCCTTATAATGCTCCAGTAACAATGACCCTTGAGAACATTAAAAACCAACTACCAGTATGATTGAATTCGGTTAACCAGCAAACCAACTTTTCACATGAACAGTCAGCGAAACTTGCCAATGGGATACCGAACCATCCACAATGTCAATGTCGAACCTCCAGTCTCGCGTAAGACCTTCAGCTCGACATGGTAATATAGCTTATACTACATACAACACAAATGTAAGTTAGTAAGTGAAATAGCCCAGCCTGAAGGAGCGTTAGGGCCTAAGATAAGTAACATAAAGGAAACAAAATTGAAAAATATTATTCCTTTCAAAAGTTATGAAGGAAAATGTGACTGGGAAAATTCCTACTGCCAAATTCTATAGCGAAACCAGGATTTTCCAATACAATACAATTGAATTTAATCTGCCATTTCGTATGCATAAAATACAGAATTTGCGAGGCCAGAAAATTGACTATACTCAAATATTGTACATTCATAATTGGAAATCATAAAGTAACTTGAAGGAAATCGTAGACACTTTTTATCTTATTCTTCTGCTGATATGTTTGTTAAAGTAAACCATAATTACTCAAAAATTCGAACTCGTTACACATTTTTTGAACGCTATTTTGTCATCCCTTGAGTTCAGAAACCTAGAAATGATGATCAACTGGTAAAGTTCAGTTATTATTAAGTTGAATTTTCATTGCTTCAACACACCATCAGGAGGAAAATAGCCTCAGTCATAACATCAACTATTAGAAGGTATAGATGATTATGGGAAATCATCCATATTCTTGTTAAGTACACTTACCGAATTGCCGCTATTTTGAGTGCTAAAATAGTGAATTACACAAAAAATAGTACATGACTTTTCATTGGATAAGGAAAAGTTTCCAAATAAGCTTGTATATATTTTATTTTAACTGGTTAGTTATGCACAAGTTCTATATATTATTTTCTGATCATTTCATGAAGGTTTACCGTGTTGTTGTTATACAACAGCAATTTTCAGATTAAGTCAATATGCATATTATGTCTTGTGATCCGATGCTGACACATTCAGTTTCCGGATACGTCAACGGGTGCAACTGCTTTTGTTGACCTATGCACTGAAACTCGAAACCTTTCACTTGACACTTCAAAAAAACCCTTCACGGACTGATCTCCTCAGCCCAGTAACTCACAAGCTCTCACAAGGAGTATGAGAGTATTAGGAGGCTGATGTTTGTGCATAGTAGGATCTGCAATTGATCAACTTATGAAGATTGTTATGATATTTGAATATGGGTATGTATTCACTTTTTTTGATGGTAAACATTTATGATACTGAAAGCACAAGCCAATAATGATGATTACTTTAATCGTATGATCAATGGTGAAAATACTATGGTAACAGTATATTTTTCGAATACTGTGGTAGATAAGCAAGAAGCTACGTTCCTTGAAAAAATGTTTTATTCTTATAGAATTCTGTCGAGTTATGAAACTTGCCCACTCATTAATCAGATCCTTTGAAGCAACTTCAAAACCTATTTCGCTCAGATATAAAGTAATTGGTTTGGAATTTGGTCGAATGTTTTGTAACCAATGATCTTCAGACTTTATTCATTATCTAGATTGTTTCTCACAATCATCACTTACTTACTTGCTTACGCCTGTTACAACTCATGGAGGAGCATAGGCCACC